AGGGCAGCAAATGAGGTAGCAGACAAGCCTACCTCCTGTACGGAATCCTGGAAGCAAGGAAAAGAAATATTTCAAGAAAATGAATGTGATTGTGTCAAACTCTCTTGAGACATTAAGGGAGGTAAAGACTAAAAATTTACCATTGGATTTGGCAATATCCAGTTTTACCTCTGACCTTGATAGTACTATTTCAGTGGAGCTGTGAAAATGAAATCTAATTTGGGGGAGTTCAACATAGAATTTTATCTGGGGAATGGATAATGCTCTCTTTTAGGAAGTTGCTATAAAGTACAGTGGAGAAATAAGGTGAAAGTGAGATAGGGAATTGATATAAAGGATTTTTTTTTTAAGTTGGGAGATATTACAATATATTTTCAGACAGATGGGAATTATCCAGTAATATGAAGGAAAAAAAAAATGACGATGTAGGAGAGAAAGGGGATTATTGAAGTAACAAAGACCTAAAATTGGTGAGAAAAAATGGAATCCAAGGCTTCAGGGAAAGGGTTGACCTTAGGTTGGAGAGAACAGTTTCGCCTTTATAACAGGATTGAAGGTTGACTACAGGGGTAGAAATATCAAGGATATGTAGGCTATAGTGGTGAGAAGACAAAATTGAATAATGGTTCTTAAATTTTTTTTTAGAAGCAATGTCATAAACAGAGAGGAGATGGGAAGAAATGTTGAAGAGTGGAAAAGAAGCACAGATGCCTCTTTTATTAGTATCATAGAGTTGAAGCATGAATTAAGAGAAATATGATAAGATGATCAGGGACGCACTTAAAGGTCTTTATCGTATTATCAGTAGTTATGCCAGTAATGCCATAGTCTACATTTTCTCTAGTTGTAATCATCTGTTCAGCTACTAGGAGTAGGTTCATAGAAGGAAGATAGCTGAACTTAACTAGGTCATTTTATTTTGTCAGACTGATTTGAAGAGAGAGAAAGGCCTTGGGGGTGATTGTGTACGTAAAGGAGAGACTACCATGCTGAATGATGGACCCTAAACTGAGTAAGTGGGGAAGTGTGAAAATGAGCAGCATGGGTGAAAAATGTGTAGAGGTCAAGAAGCTTTTTTGTTGGCAAAGTGTATGAGATGTTCAAACACTTTTTCAATCCTTTTAGGATACTCTTTCTAGGCAAGTTTGTACCTCTTCTTGGTCCAGTCTTGCTAATTTACCATTTTTTGATAAATTATATGTTTCTTTGGGTTTTTACATTTTTACTTAAACTTACATCTAAAATTCTTGCAAATTCCCAGTTAAGTCTTTTCGTATGCCTTTACAGAGATCTATCTGAACACTTTTGGAGAATTTTTTGCAGTTTCAAGCACAGCTGATTGAGTGGAAGAACAGCATGGTGACCACCTGATATATAAATAACCTAAGGAGGACTGGGTTTAATTTGTTTTAATAACTCCTGTCCACTTACTGAAATAGGATGACTAAGTAGTACCATCATTTTAGAAACTTTTTGGGTCATGTGATACTTTTACTATAGTTCAACACATGTTAGGAAAAAATGGAAATTCATTTTTTGTTTGTTAAATAAATAAATTGATTGCTGCATATATTTTGATGACTGCACTTCAGCAGGTATGAAGGTATGAAATTGGAATGGAATTGTTACTAATTAAATAATTCTAAATAGAATCAGTATGATTGTCAGTGGTTTTTATTCCCTTAAAAAATAGGGTCAGACTTTACATTTCAGATTCATCTTTCCTGCTAGATTTGTTTGCTCTAAGTCCTTTGCTTTAGCCAGGAAGCTGTCCTTCAGAGTGAATGATGCTTTTGCTGGTTGCAGGCATAGTAATGATGCAACATTATAGTTTGAGATGCAGTAACAAATGCAATTAAACTATTATACTGAACTTAAAAATCTTCTCATCACTTTAGAAACACTGAACAGCAATTTCACATTTCTTCAGTTACGTTCATAGACTGATATGAGCCATGCTTCCAGACATGTAGAAGTGATCAGCTGGGGTGGGGACCCTCAAATTCTGTGATTCTGTAACAAGTTTATACTCAAAACCCCAGCATTTGTCAGGAAAACAAAACAAAACACTAAAGACAGGAAGAAGATAGGAGTGTTTCAAACAAGTTATATTTCCTTAGGGTTAATCATTGAATAATCCATTAAAAACAACACAGCTGAAGTTATAGCTCACTCAGGCTGATGTGACCTTTAATGACCTCAGTGAAGTCTAGCATGACTATTGATTAAGATATACCAACACTGACCTACTAACGGTGCTCTTTGGAGACAATGTTGATAAACATGGAAGAGTGACTTGACCCTTGCCATTGTGCATGGCTGCTGGGACTAAGGGTGATTTGCAGTAATGTCCAGGGGCAACCGGGAAGCCAAGGGCCTGGAGCAAGAAGTGATGTTCACCTCTCTCTCTCTCTAGCCCTGCAATATTACAGGAATTTCTAAAACTGAAAAACTGGTTTTCAGGGAATTTCTCAGGTGAACCCAGATAGCAGAAATGACCAGATACGAACCATAAGTGTTAGACGGACATTTCTAAATGATAACACAGGTTCGTATATGTTTTCTTTTTCATAGAATTCATAATCAGAACCTGGGGTTCTTTTGATGAGCACAAAAAAATGTGTGAGGACGAATAACATTACATTTACATTACTGTACATGTTTTTAGTATCTTATAAATGTCACCCTCCTTGAATATTTTTCATAGTATCTGGGATGGTAATATATATCCACAAATCTGTCCCAGATATCACTTGTCACTGTCGAGACCATCCATGGGACCAGGGTCCCACTCAAGTAGTGATATAATAGGCTATGCTGGGGATATCCAACTCAGCTTGGGACCACCCCATAAACATGGGTTTCTAGGAAAATGACAGTTTCCATCAATCCTGTGTAATTCGCCACTGATGTGCCCAAAAGGCTTGTAAAGGAAAAGGAAAAGCCCTTAGATCTGGGGATTATACCTCTCCGGAGTTGCCTGGGTCTCAGAGCAAGTGCTAATGACCTAGATATCTTAGCACCACAACCCTTCAAATTCTCTTTCTCACATGCGTACGCAGAACCTCCTCACACAGTTTCACACAGCCAATGCCTCTGAGTTACATTCACAGAACCAAGGTGCTGGGTTGAAATGGTTTCCAGCATCAACTACTATACATTGTGCCAAGTACTAGCGTCGATCCTCACTTCCCCAATACTTGGAACTTTGCATTGACTATGACATGTTCTTTCAGAATTCTTCTTCCTTTGTGATGAACTCCCTCCCGGGGGCTTCACTGGCCTCAGTCAGGGTCAGCTCTGTCCATCAGATATATTTTTATATCTTTGACCTTCCAACAGGTCAGAGTTTGAATCCCTTTTTCCTAACACCAACGGTTCCTTGGCCTCTGTGTAAATTACAGGCTAATTAGAGGTATGTAAATTAGATCACTAGATTTCTCAATATTTTTGCTTTCCTCAATAGACTACCTTAAATGCCTAAATAAAATATTTATTTGGTAGTAAAATACAATTATTTTTTATTTTAATTTTAAAAGTAAATAATAAAAAATCTTAATTTCTTTCTTTAGATTTAGCTACATGTCACAGATATGTAGTAGTAAGTCTCCTTATTTGTAACATAGGGAAATTGAACTAGTAGCAATTTCCCCATATTTTTATAGCAGCAAAAACTTATTTTGAAGGGATAAAATTTTAAATGCTATCTCAGCCGGTGAAAATGATATTTAAATAATAGAATTAATTTTCATGAACAAGAAATGGTTTCAGATTATAAATGACATTGGTAGACATATGTAATGCAGTATGTAATTTATTTTTAGCATTTTGTTGTGATTTTGCAAATAATATTTTAAAGTTTGTATTTAATGGACACATTATGAGAAGGTAGAGATCTATTAGCATGCTAGTTCATTGATTTTTAATTGCTTGACTTGCAATCTCATGATATGTATCATTAACAGAGAAGGCAGAAAAGTTATATGCTAAACTATTCTTCAAAGTGAGTGAAATAGGTGATATAAGTTATTGCTTCAGTGGTCTTTACATGCCATCATTTGAGGGTAATGTTCTCAAGAGTTTTAAGCTATAAAAGAATAAAGCTGACATCAGTATAAGTTGCTTACTGAGCCTATTTCTTCATTTAAGTAATCGATTTATGGTATTCCTACACCAGCTATTGGTATTGGCTATGATATGTGATAGTTCATCTCTGAGTATTGTAGAAAGACAATAAATGAACCACATTTTCCAAGGTTCTCTACATCATTTTTAAGGAAAATTTTTACATTGCATATGGACATGACCTAACATATTAGAATGGAAAGTTTATTAATTCTTAAGAAAAACTGATTATATACATTTTAATCTGGGAAAGTAAAAGTGTATAATTACTACCAGGATTTTATCACCTCTTTAAATATTTGCATTAATCATTGTGAATTATGGCACTGCAATTTTAAAAAACAGGATTTTTCTTAAATCATGTTTATGTTAAAGAATTTTGTGTTTAAATTATGTTATTAAAGTCTAAGTTATCTTAAAACCTGAATATACAAATATTTCAGTTAATTTTAGAATTAAATTCCTTAAGTAAACCCCCCAAAATATAATAAATATTCATTGTTATTGTCATCACCTATATAGCTGTAACATTTTGGTTAATTTTCCTTGATTTTCATGTGTTTCAAGATATGAATCTTCTAGAGACTTAAATCTAGTGTAATACTGATTAGTAAGATAGAAGGACTTTAACTTTTTGTTCATAGAAATATTTGATTATATAACATGGTTGTAAATTATTAGAAATTTACTGCATTCTTCTAGAATGGATATTCTTTCTGCACTAAATTATGTGTAGTACAATTATTCCACACTATATTTAATGCCTTATTTATATTCCAAGATTTCTATTGATTTTCTCTAGGTCATATTTACACTTTGTAGTCAGCTTTACTGTTTGAAAATATAACATATTAAAACAAATCTCCTTTTTTAAGGAAAAAATAAGGAGATATCAACAGACTGAAAAGATGTCTTCAGAGGCATAATCTTCAGGAAGATACTGGCGTTCATGAGATCTCAAGGTTAGCAGTTCATACATTATTATTTTCATGTTTTTACGGATCTGAGATATAATTGTGTAACTATTCTAAGTTGTTATTGCTAACATGTAATTATATAATAAGGAAAATGTCCTTATTTAAAATACATATTTTTAACAAAATCTCTTTAAGATTTAAAAAATTCCCTTTATACCATAAATGTATTATTTGTGCAATTAGGGATGGTTAAAAGAAAATACTGTTTTAGTAGAGAACCACGTTATAACTTGCTTCACTTATTTGTTAAGAAATCTGCACCTATATAGCAAATTTTACCTTTCTAATGTATCTTTGGCTAAAACACACACATATTGTTTAAAAATAGCTAATCATCAATCCTAAAATTCTTTGAATCAGATTCCATGGCTTTCCCTCAGTACAGTCAAAAAAATTGTTCTTTTGTTGGACATGTGCCTGCAACAAAATGACAATATAAATGAGCAAAAGAATATTTAAGGATCTTTTCAAAGCTGTTTAGAGTCATGTATCTGAAGAAGAAAACCAAAATAAGCCTTCCCTTATTAAGCAGCTTATAATAATAATACACTAATAAAAAAATATTCATTTGTAAGTTTGGATTATCATTTAGGTTAAAATGGTTCATTCTAATGGATGGCTTGAGAAAGTGGATGATTTCTGACTTCTTTATACTGTGGAACTCAATATCAAAATTTTCATAATTTTAAATGAAAACATTGATGACCTTTGATTTTGATTGCTTTGGTCAAGCTTCTTTTCCGTGTCTGTATCTTTCATCACTGATCCAAAGATGTATTCATTCACATTTGTCTGGAACTTACCATATGCAAGGCAATGGGCTAAGTGTTTGGTTGTTTCAAAATGAGTAAGATATGGTTTTTGTTCTCAAGAATTGTCCAACCATATGTTACTCAGACAAGTTTTATTATTAACACGATAAACACATAATTAAAAGGACAAGCTAGATATAAAAGAGTATTCTATGAATTCTAAAACCCAATGGGAATGAGTTGGGGATTATACATTATTTTACAGTATGGCTTTTAGTAGGCTAAAATATTGAGTTTATACCAATGGGAGTTTTGCTCTATTATAAGCCACACCTAACTGTCTTTCTTTTTTATCTTATTTATCTTATGTTATCTTATGTTATCTTATCTTATGTTATCTTATCTTGTGTTATCTTATCATCTTATCATTGAGAGTATTACCAATGTCTCCCATTCTCCATTTTCCCCCCCACCCCCCTTTGCCTGCCTCCACCCAGTCCCACCCCATTCCAGGACTTCACCACACTATTGTCTGTGTCCATGGATTATGCCTATATAAAAGGCTAGTATGCTAATTGTTCCTCCTACCATCTGACCGGTCACTATGATGCACACTGACCACCAGGGGGCAGACACTCAACACAGGAGCTGCTGAGCTGCAGTGACTTGGCAGCAGTGGTTCTCGGGTGACGCACCCCAAAACCAGAGAGGAGGGAGCCCGATTCCTCGCAGGGCCAAACGATTCCACCTTCAGCCGTGGGTTATATTGTTGTTGGGGCACTGTTGGCCCCAAATCTGGTTTACTGCACACTTGCGTTTGCATTCCACACCCTGTACGACAGCAACTTTGCAGAGTGCCCTCTCTCACTCCAGGACCCCTCAGGGAATGTCAGAGGGGTGGTTTTGGCCTGATCCCCTCAGGCCAGGCCAAGGGACCCCATCTGCCAGAGGGACCCCACTCACTCTGCAGACGCCAGGGAGGGACCGAGAAAGGTTGGCTCCAGGGCATGTCTGGCCCATCTCGCCCAGTCCCGCCCAACCAGCCACCTTCTAATTAATTTCCTTTCAATGTGCAAGAATTCGTGTACTGGGTCACTAGTATGCATATAAGTTCTTTGGTTAATCTCTTCCCATACCCCACCCCCTCTGAAAGTAGTTCTTCAAGTATAACACAAGTAAATAATATGACATTCTAAGAAAGAAGTTTCTTTTATGGCACAACTGCAAATTTAATGTTGTAGAAAATAGTTATGCAACACCTACGAAAAGAACAAAAGTGAGGATTGCCTAGTTGTTTTTTCTCTCCCAGTATATTTGACTTCTTTATTAAGCTCCTCAGAGAATTAAATGACCTCCTCAGAGACCTAGAAAGACATGCTATAAACTCCTAAGGGGCCAATATGCACATAGTAGCTGGGTGAGTAAAGAGGTTTGCAATGGAGTGGGAGTCTAAACTCCACCTGAAACAGAATTACACAGCACTGTGCTTCTCACAAAAACCTTTTAAAAAGGTGATATCTTAAGAAATTAAAGCAAGTCAACTAATTAAAAATAGTAAAATTCTTTTGTGAAAAGTCACTGAAGACACCCCTTGCTGAAATTGTGCCATTAGACAAGTGGTTGTATTAATTTATATAACCATAATCATTCAACAAGTATCCATCAAGTGCCTACTGTGTGCAAGGGAGCAACAGCATTGAATAAAATATACCAATATCATTGCCTTAGAGGAAATTACATTCTAAGGGGTGGATACACATAAGCAAAACAACAACAAAGTTTGTTATGTATTATGTTAGATGGTGATAGTGCTATGAAGAAATAGAAAACAGGAAAGGGAATATAGAGTATAGGAAGGGGTGGAATTTTAAAATAAGCCTAATGATTTAATACTGCAGAATTTACACAAAAGAAATAGATATTACTTTTGTCTGCATAATGACAACTAAAAACAAGTGTGATGAAATATAACACCTACTAGAGGCCTGGTGCACAATATCCGTGCACTGGGCGTGGAGTGGGGGTAGGTTCCTCAGCCAGCCTGCGCCCTCTCCCAGTCCGGGAGCCCTCAGGGGATGTCTGATTGAAGGCTTAGGCTTGCTCCCCATGAGGAATAGGCCTAAGCCAGCAGTCAGACATCCTTAGCACTGCTACAGAGGTGAGAGAGGCTCCCACCATTGCTGCTGTACTTGACAGCCATGAGCTGGCTTCTGGCTGGGCGGCGTTCCCCCTGTGGGGTGAACTGACCACCAGGAGGCAGCTCCTGCATTGAGCATCTGCCCCTGGTGGTCAGTGCATGTCATAGCGACCGGTCATTTCACCATTCGGTCGATTTGCATATTACCCTTTTATTATATAGGATTGGTACGTTTTCTACATCATCATTTGTTAAGATGAATGTTGCTAATACATGTACAATAACTAGTGTGTGTCTTTCTCAATTTCACCATAAATAAAATACATATTTTAAAAATGATAATACATTTACTACATGTACATGAAATATTGTCAAAATGTTTGAAATAAAGAAATATACAATTGAATCTGGGTTAGTCCATTCACATGCAAAGGGGGTAAAGACTATAGTTATTCTTCTGTGTAGGGGTGGGGGACGGAATTGATTCATTTGTTTTAATTGAACAAATATTATAAACCTAAAATAGTTAAGGATCATTCTGACAATACATACAGATGATACATGGTGCTAGGAGTTTTTCTCTTTTTTGCTTTTGTTTTATCATTAGTCTTATGTTAAAAGAGCACTAAGTAATTGGATTGAAAACAGAAAGGAATTATTTATACTACCTTATTCACATGGTACACTAATTTTTTTAAGGACATATGTCTTCCTTTATATACTAGGTTTACTAGAAGATATATGGAGATTTGGAAATTAAAGTATAGCAATCTGTTTGTGATCATCAACAAATGAGTTATCAAGTTTCTTTTTATGATCATCTGGTTGAAATTGTTCTATGAAACACTGGGTGCTGAGTACAGGAGTCTGGAGATGTTTATGGCCCAGAAAACCCTGCTGTTTTGCAGCCAATAGATAAACCCACCATATAAATTGATATTATCTTAAAAGTCATTCAGTCTTGACTACTGGATAGAATTGAAAAATTTAGCCAATCTGGTAGCAGAAAAAATAGTTAAATCAATTATTTTTCCACTGTTAATAAGTCAATGTAAAAGAAATATCTAGTCATCCAAATAAACACAATTTGGATTAGGAGGTCTCAATATTGAAACTCCTTCAATCTTTCAGAAGTCAGACATTCTAAATAGTATATTATCTAAAAAAAATAAATGTCCAGTATTGGAGTATTAAAAGGATTATAAAGTCAAGGTTACCATTGTTTAGAGGGCCTGTATTAATTAAACCAAAGCAGAGAGTGTTTGTTGCATGTTGTAGTAAAAGAAATGGTCAGCTCTGTATGGTTGACCATAAGAAGTAGTGTCTATTTAGGGAAAACCAAAAGAAACTAAAAAATGAGAAACACGGGGATGTGGAGGAGAGTTATGGAGAAAAAGAAGACTTCTCAAGTCATGCCGCTATGTGAGAGCTAGATTTCTTCTAAACCAAAATTAATGCATTCATCTGGAAACTTTGGAGAAAAGGACGAGGAACTCTTGTTTAAGGGCAACTGAAACAAAAGCATATGCTTTCCCTCAAGTGCCCTTGTTTCATCCTCCCTCTATTTGCTTTACAAAACGCTAGCCTCAGGAATCATTTGTGAATTTGTGTCACAATACCATAAACTTTTCCAAACAATGAATCTTCCATTCTCTCACAAGCCATCACCCACACATAGATATCTTTGAACCTCACATCACCTGGCATGGCGATGCTCTGGATAGTTCCTCCTTCTCTACCTTTTCCAATGGTTCTCCGGATGATTTATGGCCATTCTCATCCTTCTATCATGTTTATAATGTATCTAAACCAAGGTTCTCAAACTGAGCACTACTGATATTTTGGTCAGATAATCCTGTAGGGGCTGTCCGACATTGTAGGGTGTGCAGCAGCATCCCTGGCACTACACGCCAGTACTACTCCACTCCCCCCAAAATGGTTCCAGACATGGCCCAATGTCCCTTCAGGACAAAATTATCTCAGGATGAGAACCAGGTTAACGCCTAACTCCCACAACCTCAATAAATGTCTACTCCACATCAACCACAAATCCTCCTAACCACCTGCAGCATCTTCCTCTCAATTAAAACTCATCT